TGCATTTAGGGATTAATAACAAGCTGGGGACGCATCAGTTGGAAGTACCAGAGGAGGAGAAGGACCTCGGAGTATTGGTTGATCACAGGATGACTACGAGCCGCCAATGTGATATGGCTGTGAAAAAAGCTAATGCGGTCTTGGGATGAATCAGGCGAGGTATTTCCAGTAGAGATAAGGAGGTGTTAGTACCGTTCTACAAGGCACTGGTGAGACCTCATCTGGAATACTGTGTGCAGTTCTGGTCTCCCATGTTTAAGAAGGATGAATTCAAACTGGAACAGGTACAGAGAAGGGCTACTAGGATGATCCGAGGAATGGAAAACCTGTCTTATGAAAGGAGACTCAAAGAGCTTGGCTTGTTTAGCCTGACCAAAAGAAGGCTGAGGGGAGATATGATTGCTCTCTATACATATATCAGAGGGATAAATATCAGGGAGGGAGAGGAACTATTTAAGCTCAGTACCAATGTGGACACAAGAACAAATGGATATAAACTGAACATTAGGAAGTTTAGACTTGAAATTAGACGAAGGTTTCTAACCACCAGAGGAGTGACGTTCTGGAACAGCCTGCCAAGGGGAGCAGTGGGGGCAAAAGACACATCTGGCTTCAAGACTAAGCTTGATAAGTTTATGGAGGGGATGGGATGATGAGATTGGTCTTTGTCTATTAGCGGTAAATATACCCGATGGCCTGTGATGGGATGTTAGATGGGATCTGAGTTACTACAGAGAATTCTTTCCTGGGTGTCTGGTTGGTGAGTCTTGCCCACATGCTCAGGGTTTAGCTGATCGCCATATTTGGGGTTGGGAAGGAATTTTCCTCCAGGGGAGATTGGCAGAGGCCCTGGGGTTTTTTCGCCTTCCTCTGCAGCATGGGGCGTGGGTCACTTGCTGGAGGATTCTCTGCACCTTGAGGTCTTTAAACCACGATTTGAGGACTTCAATGGCTCAGACATAAGTTAGGGGTTTGATACAGGAGTGGGGGGGGTGAGATTCTGTGGCCTGCGATGTGCAGGAGGTCAGACTAGATGATCATAATGGTCCCTTCTGACCTTAAAGTCTATGAGTCTATGACTAGGGGGTGCTGTGCTGGGACAGGGGGAGGGGCCGCAGCAGGAGGCGCTCTCAGCACTGATTGACAGGACCCCAGAGTGCACTAGGGGAAGCTGTTCTGCAGGGGGCGCTATCAACATTGATTGATGGGACCCCAGAGCAGCACTAGGGGGCACAGCAGGGGGCACTATCGGCACTGATTGACGGGACCCCAGAGCTCACTAGGGAGCGCTGTACTGTAGGTGGCACTATTGGCATTGATTGATGGGACCCCAGAATGCACTATGGGGCTCTGTACTGCAGGGGGCGCTATTGGCACTGATTGACAGGACCCCAGAGCAGCACTAGGGGGCGCTGTGCTGCTGAAGATGCAGATTTAAGCTGAAACATAACGCGAGGTCCTGGGTAAATCCCAGCTCAGATGAATCCATGCTGCCTCCTTAAATCCTCCTGTTGGTTTCAGTTGGATCCAGGATTCCTCTTCACTTGTTCTAAGCTGCTGTTCAGAGTGGCTGTGCGCCCCACTCCAGAGGTGGCTGCATTTTCATGGAGAGGGCAGTCATTGCTCTGTATGGTTTGTGAAGCCCTAGGTCCTAGACTCCCCATGGCCCGTCCCCTTCCTAGCATCCCTGTCTGCAGACTCGATACCGTCTCAACCCGCCCTGAGGGACCCAGAGCACCCACGGGACCCAGCCTGAGCCGATGTTCTCACCCCCCTGCAGGGATCTGCTTGGGAAGGAGCCGCAGGAGAAGCTGGACATCAAGCTGAACCCTGACGGGAGTGGGCAGCTCCATGTGCCAGGCCTGACCAGTGTGGAGGTGCAGGGGCTCCGGGAGATCCGAAAGGTACCAGGGGACAGGGCAAAGCCACACATGGCCTGCGGGTGCAGAGGAGGAGTGAGGGGGCGGAGTGGAGCTAAAAGGGGCGGAGTCAGTGCTCATGAATTGGTGAAACCTGGTCCAGCCACCCCTCTGCTTCCTCCCTTTGCTGGTGCTACTGACTCAGTCGGTGCTGCCCAGACCGGTGCTCTGCGGGCGCTTCGCCGAGTAGAGCGGGAGGCTCCCCGCGGCTGCTGCACGTCAGCGCGTCTGGGGACTGTGAGGTTCTCTCCAGCTCCCCCGTTCCTGGTGGGTTCATTCCCTCGGCCTTTGGCTTTGCCTCAGATGCTGTCGCTGGGGAAGAGGAACCGGGCGACCTACTGCACCAACATGAACGAGCGCAGCTCCCGGTCCCACGCCCTGCTCACCGTCACCATCACCGGCACCAACTGCAGCACCGGCACCAAGACCTCAGGTACCCACTGCCGCGGGCCTGCGCCACAGTCCTCTCCTGGATCCCCGGCCTGCTGTGTGTCGCCCCCTGCTGGCTGCGCCACGACAGGGAGAGATGCCCTGGGACAGCCTGGGGGCGGCAGAGCCACTGGAGTCAGTCTGTCCATCGCAGCTGATGGACAGGAGGCGAGGAAGAGGGCTGGGGGGCTTTGGACGTCATGGTCAGTGCCGGGGACACACTGATTCAGGATTTCCGGGGGGAGGGGGGGCACTTGAGGCTTGGTGTTTGTGGGAGGCCCCAGAGCCTTGCTCCGGCCACCCCCACGCTGGGGCAGAGGGCCCCCGGAGGCTGCTCTGAGGTCAGACCAGGCTTCTCAGGGCAATGTGGGGTCCTAGGCAGGAATGGCCGGCTGAGGAGGTGTCAAGTCGCCCGGGGCTCGCTCAGGGGAGGGTTGGCTGATTCCAGGGCAGAGACCGGCTGGTGTTCCTGGCTGCCAGCCGACCCGCGCAGGTATGTCTGTGCTGCAGTTTGGCCCGTGTCAGCTGGCTCTGGCCAAGTGGTCTGAATTGCAGGCTCAGATTTATCACTGTTGATGCAAAATTGTGCTCCCATCTGTGTGCAGGAATGGAGAGGTCCCAGCTCCTCTCTTGTGGGGCAGTGTTAGGTGTGGTTCGGGTCTGGGAGCCCAGTGCCAGCTGGAGGGGGAGTGAGGGGATCTGGAGGGCGGGCAGGGAAGGGCTGCGGCTCCCCCAAGAGCACCCCACACCTGGTCCCTTCCTGGCAGACCCAGCCCTGCCTGGCTCCCCGGAGCCCACCGTTCAGGTCCCGCTAAAGCCCAGACTCTCCTCTTGTGTCTCCGGTGCCCCAGGGAAGCTGAATCTGGTGGACCTGGCGGGTTCTGAGCGGGTCTGGAAGTCGGGGGCGCAGGGCGAGCGGCTGAAGGAAGCTCAGAACATTAACAAGTCCTTGCTGGCCCTGGGGGAGGTGATCCAGGCCCTCAGAGCCAAGCAGGGCCACGTGCCTTTCCGCAACTCCAAGCTCACCTACCTGCTGCAGGACTCCCTGGGCAAGGGCAACAAGACTGTAATGATGGTGCAGGTAGGTACCGCCAGGCCTGGGGCATGCTGGGGAATGGCCGCACTGCATGCTGGGGTTTGTAGTCTCCGCAGGCCGCATCTCCCGCGCGTGAGCTGCTGCACCCAAAATGCCTCGTGGAAATTCGCCATTCTGTGGCAGAAAAAAGAGGGAATAACCGTTGTTGTTTGTGTAGGACCTACATTATTTCACCCTGTGCTGCTGCCTCTGGCCAGCAGGGAGAACGCTGCTGACTAACAGACTTCCCAGTCCAGGACGATACGGGGGTCGCCGAGGGCTTGGTTGGTTCCTGCTCAGCTGAGAGTGGGCCCATGTCACCCCTCCCCGCACACCCTACTCATGTCCGTTATTACCATGCTGAGGGACCCCTGGGGGGGGTGTGTGGGATGGGACTCTGGGGGATAGGGCCCGCTGCCCCTTGGTGGTGAAGGCAGGTAATTCTAACCAGGCCCCCTTACTCCGGCCGTCTCTCCCCCCAGATCTCGCTACTGGAGAAGAACGCGGGGGAGACCATGTGTTCCCTGAAGTTCGCCCAGCGCGTCTGCAAGGTGGAGCTGGGCCCGGCTTCCCGCAGGATCGACTCCTGGGGCCAGAGCGAGCTCTGAGCCCGCCTGGCCCCGTCCTTGTGCCCAAGATGCAGGCAGCAACCCCACCTGTCTCCAGCCGTGGCCGAGCAAGGGGGCACCAGGGCAGGGTAGGCAGGGGCTGTCAGCTGGGAGGGAGCACTCGCATCCAACAGCCAGCGCACCCACGGGGCGACGGGGGCGTCTGGTCCCAGACACCAGGCTGCCGGTGGAGCCCTGGCCCCCTGAGCCCAGTAGCAGGGCAGAGAAGCAGGGGAAGGGAAAGGCCTGGCCTGACCATACCATGCTAGGCTGGTTCCCTCTGCCCACTAGCGGGGACCCCGGCAGTGTCCCCAGCTCGGCAGGGCAGGGCTGCTACACCCCCCATCCTGGCGGGGGGGGCTGTGATTTCCTCCAGCCGTGGGGTCCCTCTCGGGCCAGGCACACGCCCTGAGCAGGGCCACGCTGGGCCCATTGTGACTAGGAGACGTGACCCCCTCCCCCCCATTACTCCTGTAGTACAGGTCGCCCAGCCCCCCATGCTGGGTATTGACAGCCCTTGCCCTGGGCGAATGAAGGTTTGGCCCAGGGGAGGGGGTCCTGGGTCTCCCCTCTGACTCCGTTCTCACCTCTGCTGGGCCCCTGACGACGGAGGAAGGCTGTGTGGGACAAAGGGCTCCCACTCTGCAACTGTTATTGTAGGGCCTATCCTAACGGTCGGGCATGCTCCCTGCGTGTGCGTAAAGCACACGGAGCAGTCGCCCTGCCCTCCGAATGGGCGAATAGGGGGCCTTGCCCCCACCCCACAGCAACGCCCCCACACACTGCCTGACAATTGCTGAGCAGCTGCTGCCTTGAACAATCACGCATGCTCCTCCGCACATGCATGTCCGAATGCACATGCAAAGCCAGGTACATGTGCACCTACAACCCCCTGGCCACCCACTTGGGGGGAGATCATGGAGGAATCCTTCCCCTCCCCTTTCCTCGAACCCTGTGCCAGAAGGTAATTAGTGCAATAGCCTGGAGGGAGGCATGAGCTGGCCACCTCCACAGCACCCCCTGCTGGAATAACTAGGAGCCCTCCCTTAGCCAGTGCTGCCCCATTCCCTGCAGTTGCCCCCTGCTGGAGTAGCTGGGCACTCCACTCCCAGCCAGTGCTCCTGCCCCACTGCCTGCTGGGAGAGGCCCTTCATGCCCTGTCTCCAGGTCTGCGTCCAATGGGGCAGAGGGGCTGCTGGGGGAGGGATGGGGCCCCCAGGCTGTATCTGTGCTATCTGAGCCCTGTTCCCACTGGACGCTTGCAGGGGCAATAAAGAGGAACCTTTGCACCCCAACCTGCTCTCGATGCTGCCTTATTAGGGCGAGGGGCCCAGGTGTGAGACATCCCTCCCCCCATCTCCATCTCTGCATCCACCCACCGGACCCTGTGTCTCCTGCACCCTCAGCCAGGGTGGGGTCCAGTGCCACCCATCTGCCGTCCCCCTCCACTTGCCGGAGCAAAGAACCTGCTGGCCCCAGCCTCTGCAATCCCCACAGGTCATCCCTGGGCCAGCCCCAAACACCCTCTCACAGCCGATGCCCATGGCCCTGTGCCCTGGCAGAGGGGTTAGCTTCGTATTTCCTGCCATGGGTTCCATGACCTCACCTTGCTCCTATTCCCCCCCCCCCCCGTAGTGAGGAGTCACAGCTGGAGCCGGGGGTGGAACGGGACAGGCTCAGGGAGCCGGGGGGAGCAGGCTGTGGGTCAGCGTAAGGCAGAGGCAAGTGATCGGGTCAGCGCAGAGAGCAGCACGGCCAAGTCTCCATTCACCTTTATTCATAGCTGTGCGTGCGCACACTTTACACATGTATCCCCCCAAACCTCCACCCCCACCCGCTCACCTTCCCACTGGGGCAGGTCGGAGGAGGGGCAGGCCCGGCCCAGGCTCTGGGACCTGCTCCCTGACTCCCAGGCCATGCCCCAGCCTGCACCGCTCCCACCTGGGCCCAGTGGCCAGGCCATGCTGTGCGCTGGGCCTGCCGGCTCTGTGGTGCAGGTCAGGGGCTTGGGAGAGGCTGGGCTCCGGGGCAGGGCCCGTGGGGAGCTGCCCTTCCCCAGATTTTGGCCTTTATTGCACGTTTAGCATCAGCCATCGCCCGGCAGCCGTGCTGCTGCCCCGCCGGAAAGGGGCTGCCCCCGCGCCCCTCAGAAACCCCCGTACTGTGGCAGCATCAGCTGCTGGGCGTGCCAGGGCGGAGGCGCTGGGTGAGGGGCGTGACTGGCCTTGCTGGGGGGGAGGGCCGGGAAGGGGCCGTCCAGGTCCATGGGGACGCCCAGCAGCGGGGGAAGGGCCGCCGGCGAGGGCTGAGGCACGAGGTCCCAGTAGGCCGGGCTGACGTAGGCAGTGGGGCAGTAGCTGAGGTAGGGCAGCCCAGGGATGGGGGGAAAGGCAAAGCAAGTGGGGATGAGCGGGGGCAGGCCCACGGCGTAGGAGGGGGGGAGCTGGTGCCCGGGGGATACCGGCGGGGTGCGGCACGCGGAGCCCTCTGAGTCGGAGCTGCTGCTCGGGAAGGTGTGGAGCAGCCGGGGGCGCTTGGCCAGAGCCGGGGCCTGCGGGCTGCCTGGGCTCTTCTCATCCAAGGGCAGCGTAGAGGCAGAGGAGGAGCGAGTCCGTGGGATGCCAGGGCCCCTCAGCGCAGGGGGGGAAGGAAGCGGGAAGGGAGAGGGCTCCTGGCTCTCCGGGTGTGGAGACCTCCCCGGCCTGGGCAGCCCCTGACGCCCAGGCTGCTCGTTCAAGTCCACCTCGTGCAGGTTCTGCAGCAGGGACTGGATGGAAAAGGAAGTGTCCAGCCGGGGCCTGGGACGTGGGGCCTGAGTCTCTGGATCGGCCCCCGGGGTGGGAGCTCTAGCGCCCACGCTGGCTGCAGGCTGCAGCTGCTGGGACCCCCCCCTGTAGTGCTGCCCGTGCAGGATGAAGGGGGCCAGGTCGCTGGCGAAGGAAGCCGCCTCCTGCCGGGAGATGGCCGTGTTCTGCAGCTTCAGGGCGTCCGGGGGGATCTGGCTCACGTCCACCGTCCAGAAATTCCCTTTGGCCTTGGGCTTCGCGGGATCCTTCAGCAGCTGCCGGGGAGAGAGC